TATCCTTGTCAAACATCTCATGTCTGCATTTCACATTATGGTAGTAATAAATCTAAAACAATAATTAAATACATTAGGTAAATAGGTTTTTATTGCTACAGCTCCATTCTTTCATCTCCCCAGAACCAATGTGGGTTTGTGTAAGCACAAGTGCGTGTGTGTGTGTGTGTGTGTGTGAGAGTGAGAGAGAGAGAGAGAGAGAAATGTGGATTCCCAAACAGCTAACACTATCTTCTTATAGATTTCCACTAGGATTCACAGTATGCTTGGTTTACACTTTACAGTCAACTTTTTGGATCCCTCAACAAAATAAAAGATGGATATTTAAGGAAGGTTTAGAGCCTCTAAAAGTAGAGGGAAAAAAATCCATAACCAAGTCCTGGTAAGGTTTAAAATGAAAAACCTCAACTTCAGCTTTGTCTTTTAGCCCAATTTAAGTAGAAGCAATCTAGAATTTTGTTTTTAACTATCCAACTTTATTCTAAAGAATTATTTCAAATGAAAGTTAAGACTGTCCTTCATTTTACTTTCAATATTATTTCTTGACAGCTTATAAATAAAAGCTCTAAGAAGCTTTTTTTGGTTTACTATTAATCTTTTCAAACAATTTTAATATAGATATTAAATTTTCAATGAGTCCACAAAAGCCTTCATAGATGTCAATGAAATGGAATGAAAACTCTCCACAGAATTAAAAGAATACCTACCTGATTTACTAATGAGAACCCATTTCTCCTCCACATGCCAGCGTGTACTTGGGCACATAAAACAAGACACCTCAGAGGGTGTTCTATTAACATGGGTGGACTAAGTTCACTCTGTATAGTAAGCAGAAAATAAAATACCATTAAAAAAACCACAACTCTAAAAAGTAAGTTGGTTAACAGGAACAGAAGCTTTTATAATACACAGATTAAAATTATTTTAAGAAGGTTCAGGGATGTAGCTCAGTGGCATGGTGCCTACCTGGCAAGCATGAGGCCCTGAGTTAGATTCCTGGTACAAAAAAAAAGGGTAGTATACCTAAAATGTACCAATAAAAGAATTTAAGAAAAAAAAGATAATTTAAAATTATTTAAAGATACTTTGCAGTGTTCATTAATTTTGTGCCAATTTAGCTAAGCTATGGTATCCCCTTAAGGTCAATACCATACTAGGTGTCTAGATGTTGTCATTAAGATAATTTTTAATACAGTGGTACCCTGGTTCACAAATGTAATTCTGATTCTGGTCACAAAACAGAATTGCTCATGAACCAAATCAAATTTCCCCATAAAGTCAACAATGAACCTAACTATTGAATTTAATTCAGTTTGTAAGCAATTCAGTTTGTGACCAGAATCGTGAAAGATAAGTTGTGAACCAAGGCACTACTTGTATGAGTAACATTTTTTTCCCCTCAAACCTGCACCAATTCTCCTGCCTCAGCCTCCTGAGTGCTGGGATTACAGGTGTGTATCACCATGAATAACTTAATGATAACATTTTAGTAGACTTTGAGTAAGGCAAAGTAGCCTCCATAAAGTCAATGGGTCTCATGAATTCAGTTGAAGGTCTTAAGAGGAAAAAACTGAGGTGATAAAGGGTGAGGGAAGTCTGCCCCCATGACTGCCTTTGTACTTGAGGCTGCGATGTCAATTCTCCACAGGTCTCTTCAGGCTGCCTGGCAGAGGTGCCTTGCAGACGGCAGACTCTAGACTCACCAGCACCCCTCATACCGCACAGGGCAATTCCTTAAAGTAAATCCTTCTCTAAACACACATGTGCACATATGTGCATGTACACACATACACACAAAACCCCCTTATTGGTGGTTTTTTTTCCTAGTACTAACCCTAACCCTTTCATCTCTTAAAGTTTAAAGTTTTACCAAGGTATATTTACCAGAGTATATGACCAAAGTATAT